ATTATTCTTTTTATGAGGTCTCAACATAGGTCTGTGCGATGACTGTTATTATAGCACACGTGCTTTATAAATAGAAATATAGGGGCCAACTATGATCTCCCCAGGGTGATGTCAAATGTTATTCAATTCAAAACTTTAAGTTTAAGATTCTACCATTAAACTCACGTGCCTTTGACATGCCTTAATGTAAACTTCGTGACTAGAAGCTAAAAAAACAAACTGCTGTGTTACTAAATGGTTCTGAAGCAGTGTATTATGATTTAGCATAGTCTAAATATTGCAATCAGATCGACTCGAATAGGACTTCCGCACCTTAATAAAACCAATACTTCTATGAAGCTCTAAAATATGGACACTATTCACCAAGTAAGAAAGAAGTCTGAAAAAACGTTACCCAAATCAAGAATTCAAAATATAAGCTGAAGGTACCACTCAACGCTTGATCATATATAAATAAGAAAGTCTCCCTCCATCATCTGTTAAGAGCTTCAGTTTGCTTGCTTTTTGATTTGTCATTGCTTTTGAGTTGTCATTATAAGATTGATTTTCATTATAAAAAACCCTGGGGAAAATGTAAGTTGTTTCCGATAAGAATCCAAAATGTCATTATTATAAGTTGTAGACAGTGTCAATATAAAACATCAAATATTCTTATATGGGGGTGTTCTCATCTTATAACCTTGATGTAGCTTATAACCATGAAGAACTATTGTGTTGTGATTGCGCAGACAAATTTTTGATTGTGTTAGATGTGACGCGAACGGAGCGGTCCACTTTCCTCTGTCGTTTAGTGCAAATTGTCACGACTAATTCAATTTCATGCCCGAATACGCAAGTAATGAAACAATGGCGTCGTTTCGTTTTCTTTCCGTGATCCGTGAATCTAAAAGTTGCCTTGATTGTGTAACACGTAGCTAACTTGCGTTTGACCGCATTTACAAAAAAGACAAGAATTGAAGCGCACTCGTGAAACACCTGTTTATTTCACTGGCGATCTAAAACCTACGGTGGTGACCTTGCACTTATCATTTTACTAAATTTTTGCAATATTCCACTTTGCAATAATAACTTAATCAGCTATAAAGTTTCAATATTTCTGTGTGGCAATTAATACGGTATGAAATCAATTTAGCGCGTTTTCTGAAAACAGTAAAACGTGATAACATTAATTTGAGATCTTTGTCATATTGAAAATATTGCACATAGCGCCAGCTTCCCCTAACACATGTAGGTAATATTCACATTGTGGTACTGTACAATCCCACTGAAGTCTTTCCCCTTTTATCTGACTGTGACCTCAGTGCGCCTTAGAATCAATCTCCTTTACTTTCGTATCTCATTCAACTTAAAACTTTCTTGAGCATTAAGGTCCGTTTCTAAAGGCCATATCATGTTCGAAATGAAAAAGACGAGAATGCACAGCTATTCCACCAACGCCTGATTAAACCTCTACTGTCTATTTATCTATCCACCTGGAAGAGCTGCGGAAGCTGACTTTATGTGTATTCGTCTCATCTGAGCATCAATGTACTAATTACAACCTTCTTATCGATTCAAGGTATCCACCGTTAGTTTTAAGTTGGTTTTTGCCTAGCTTTACTTAAATTAAAAAACGTGCTTTGAATATCTCAACTTGGAAATAATATTAATAGCAACACGCGTGGTACGTGTTAGATGTATCAAATCTTTAACATCAATAATATCTTAGAAATAACCTCCCTATTCCCAATAGAGGGTTTCATGAAGTTGTCATGAATGGCAACCAGATTTCTTTGTTTTAACTGAAACAGGCAAAGATCTTCTCACTGTGGCGTTAGTATCGGAGGAATGTTAAGAAATTTAAGAAAAGTTGCACCAACTTACGACTTGACAAGCCTGTTGAGCTTGTCCATAGCCGCCGTGGGGCTCTCTGTTCCAGCAGGTTTGTCAGCTGTTGCCGATCCATCCTGGCCACCCTTGAGGGCCTTTGTTAACTTTAACAGTCCACCTTTCATTGTCACTTCTTTAAGGATTCATAAAAAAGTTCAAAATCTAATGTATATCTATCACATTTCAACTTGAATTACACCATCCAGTGTCAAATCCCTGACAACGTAACTCTATGGAAGCAGGTCTTATGCGATTGATAGTGCGTTTACCATTTGCGTCGTCTTCATCATGTCTTTGCTCAGTAGACAACACGGATTGTGTAATAAAATTAAGAATGTATCTTAGCTCGTCTATTGTAGCTCATATACTTAACTATATAAAATTCATTTAAAATGCAAATAGTTTAGGTCTACTTTTGCACACTGACATATACCGAAATAAAGTTAAAATTTGAAGGGAGGTGAATGAGACAATTTTGGCTGTGTATTTGATCATTAACATCCAGTGGTAAACATCAGGACCACTGTGATGACATTTTTCGCTCAACGAGAAAACATGCACGTGGGGCAAAATTCCATCAAACTCGCAAATTAATTATTATTTATTAACCCAATCCAACCTGAAGATTACTTCACTCGGCTCCTGGCTAAACTGAACCATGACCCAGGGTCGCACACATGAATGCAGGGATAACAGTGTCCGAGCCCAACAGTGACAAAGAAGTTGAACTAACCGCCCCGACAACAATAACCTGTGTAGCTTACTACACCAGAGTAATTGATAATAGAAATTATGCAAAACATCAGTTCATTTTGAAAGTAACAAAGATGCGGGCCGTAAACAGCACACAATAACAGGTGCTCGTGCGTATAGTTTTGCGCTCACGTGACTGGTAACAAAAGAAACAATATACGATAGTGTTATAATACCGATTCAGAACAATAGCTATTTAGCTATGCTGATCAAAGTATCAGCATTTTCACATCTTAGAACCGATTTTTTACAACAAATGATTTATGTCTATTGATTTTTTTGTCTGTCATTTTGCTTTCCCCTATTGTAGAATCATTGAGATTCCCAAATGAAATCGAAAAAAGGATGACAATTTAACTTAACGGCAGAGAAGAAATTAAGCCCACACGTACAGGAGCGTTAAAAAGTTGCCGAGAAATATTAAAAATAGGAGCTTAATTTCAAAATGCAACACAGCAGCTCGAAGACCAAGATGCAAAGTTTGGATAAGGGCCAAACACTTATCCTTGCATTAAATTAAAAGCAAACAATTTGTTAGGATGATTTTTTTTTCACGGCACAAGGGACAAAGTCAAAAATCTAATAGAAAATATTTAACAAAGGTAAAAAAATCGATAAAAAGCCTATATCTACTATCAATTTATGTATCTATTCTTTTTTTCTATATTTTTGTATGGTAAACTCACGTGCTGCTTCCTTTTCTCTGAGGAGGCGTGCCCTCCGTGTGGGGACTTCCTTTAATATCACTAGCAGAGTTTCGTTTTTTCACAGCTCCCGAAGGTGGCGACTTTGTCCCTTGGGCCTCTGACTTGGTTGTATTGGTATTACTACTCCCCGGGTCACGACTTGCAGCCGCCGTCCCCAAGCTACCAACACCACCACCACCACCACCACCACCGCCACTAGAACTGGAGTTTAAAGAGCTGTCCGACTTCTCTCCCTTTTCCCCCACTCCTGGAGCGAAGGAGACAGAAACCCTCCTGTTCCCCGACGGTGACTCGGTCGGGTTACCAACTTTGCTCATTCTCAGTTTGTTCAGCGTCTGTATCCCTGTCACCAAGCTTTTAAAACTGCGGCCTTTTAATTTAGCACCAGGCGTAGTTGTAGCTGACTCCGACGGAGGAGCGGGGTCAGGTTTGGAACTCATAGCAACTAATTACTTGCTGACTAATTATCCGAAGAATTGTATCGGGTTAGCGAAACAATACCTGTGACCGTATTGTCACCGGAATAAGGGTCCACAGATGACTGGTTGCCGTCTACAAATGGGTGACAAAGCGTTGTTCTGGGGAAGATATCGATTGTTAGCATATGCGACGTCGCTGATCCGATCATGAAATCGCTAGTTACCAATCGATTGATATGAATATTTGATGACTGTTAAATTGGGGCCCGTAATGCTCCAACAATGATTTTGTATCAAATGTTTTTCTACAGGTGCAATAAAATGTAATGTCAAGTTTACCGAGTATCAACTCTGTACGCTATCATTGTCTGTAACGCAAATAGGATGTGTAACTAGCTTGTTTTTATTTGCGCGTGTCTTTTGTGTTTTACTTTATCTGATACCTGCACTAATAAAAGTCTATTTACCTTTCCCCTGTATTGCTAAGTTAGGCATTGTCTACATAATGTAGTTGAAATTGGTTTATTTCGTTTCGATTAGTAACTGCTTTGTAACACAAAATAATTTCGCATTTTAATGTTAGTGCCATCACAATAAGCAGCATTTCTAAGATATTAACTAAAACTGATGCTCATTAATATCTACCAATCACCCAATTAATAAACCAAACAATAGTTTATTCAATGAATGAATCAATTATTAAAGATATTCATTCATCTATCCGCCAAGGCCTTGTTCATTCTGTTCATTTATGTGATTTTGAGCGCCCTCGTTAGGAGAGGTATTTATAAAAATAAATAAATAAATAACAAAAAATAAGGAGCCTAAGACAGAGCCCTAAGAACAACCACAATTAATTTCTCATCTTCGTAGGTAAATGTGGCGATTCATGAAAAGAAACGTTACAGTTAAAAATAAGAGAGGCGTGGATATATCATAGGATCATTACTTGTTTTCTGCCCCCGTAGAGGCGTTCAAAAATTGCACTACCGACGGTATTTCACGTCGTCAGTGCGGGGTATTGGGTATAGTTTTCAACTAGCAATAACCACGCCTCGGATAAACCTCATTGGCTATGGTACCGCCACTGCGCAAAGCTGTTAAATCCTTGCACAGCAGAATAATATGTACTGAGATATTCCGTCAACGCGTGTGGCTATCTTTGAACAAACTAAATGCTTTTCATCCAAAGATAGAATGACGTTCCCTTTACGACTTCTACACTGCTGCCACCTAACGGATGTTTACTTACTCCGGGCTGGGGTTGTCCCGATAAGCCATTTTTGAAGCACTTCTCGTCATCATTGACGCTCTTCTCGATTTCGTTTCGCTGCCTGAATCATCGTGCTCACTGAAAAAAATTATGATGTTATGACAGGCAGGCTACATAATATAATATAATATAATATAATATAATATAATATAATATAATATAATATAATATAATATATGTACGCACGCACCCACACAAACACAAACACACACACACACACACACACACACACAGTTACTAGAAAACACGGCTATGACAGGAAAGTGATTACAGCCATAAAGTTTTTTCAAATCTGAATAATAAAATATGAACGATCTATCATTGTTCACGACTTATGTTTTTATTTTGTCATACAGTGCGGGTAGGCTTCTTAGAAATCCAAATGCCTGTTAAAATAATGCTTCATATCAAGTAATCCTATCTGACACCAGTGTCACATAGAAAAACATTAAATGATGCTGTGAAATGAATACAGACTTGTTATAAAAACGATCAAAGCGCAGTGGCAGATTAACACCAGACAATTACCAAACATTACAAATTGTATGTACATGCTTTATCATGCTAATGACCCTTATGCGATGGTAACGAATCCCTTTCGTTACAAATTGAGTAAAAGTTTTACTTCACATTTACTTGGGCTGATCAACAACGTCGGAAGAATACACAAGAGCGCCTGGAACTATAGGTAAATTAATTTTTTTTCCTACTTCTATAGACTAAGGCTTAGTAATACAATTCAATGTACCTAATAACTTGGACATACAAGTACTAATGTACATGACTTACGGCCAGTTTAATAACAAGCCTGTGTTTTAAACATAAAATTGACTTTGTGACTCATAACTAATAGGTCTATAGCACTTCCAGATCCAGGAGTCACAAGAATAAAATAGCTTTGCCTCGCTTAGCTCTATAAATATAAAAGAGAAGCATAATTTCGCTCTCACATTTTTGGAGCAAGAATAAGGGGCGGGAGACGGGGAGGGAGAAGAGTTACGAGACAGCGCATCCCCGCTTTTCCCTTCTTTTTTTAATGGAAGAATTTTGATATTTAAATTTTGCTTAAGTTCAATTATATGTAGGCCTATTTTATTCAGTGGATAGGATTTAAGCTAGACATTTGTGCTTGTCCTTCGAGGACATAACATTGATCAGCTCACCTAGCCTTTTTTATTCAAAGAGACCCTCTTGTCAGGCGTGGTATAACGCTCGGTATTCCAGGGCCAAGTTTTCATTTTAAGTTTGTCTGTCAACCTAATATCCGGCAACAGAGACTTCTTTATCAAAGTTAAACTTACTATTCTTTTTATTCTATATTACAATGTTATATCGACAATTTAGGTTACAACTAGAAATAAGCTACGTTACCTGTTTTTCACTTTAGCTGATGTCAGGAGGGATTTCAGAGACATAGACATAGTTAAGCCTATATGGTGGTTATATGGTAGTCACATAAATGGACCTACAGACCAAACATACTTCTTATTTGCCTAGTGATACATTTTAAGCACAGTTTCTAATACGGCAGTTATTTGTCGCTATGATATGTTTTTTCAGCCAATATTTTCTGGCAAAATAATGAATCAGGGGAGCCTCTTGAAAAGCCAGTTGTTGAAGTTATGCATGGTTACAATAACCCTATATGTTTTTGTTTGTTTAATCTCTGACAACCTACGTGATGTCAATTATCGTGATATGTGAATCATATTACTTGTATACCACAACGGTTAAGGACCGCTTTATTTCTGACTGCTACGAAAATGTGTGTGTGTGTGTGTGTGTGTGTGTGTGTACGCGTGCGCGCACCCGTACACGTGTGCGTCAGAGAGAAAAAATTCAACTTAGGGAAGATTGTGCTTGACTATTTAAACGGCCCTTTGTAAACCAAACACCTAAACCTGCGTATCGAAATACAAATATATGCTCAGTGCCCCTCAGCCTTTTCATACCATAGTCATCTTTTTCCAAGAAATCTCGATAACTTTTTTTAAGAAAAAAGTTGAAATAATTATATTTAAATATTGATAAGCGACATTGGATTTATTACAATTTTTATCAAAGATAGTCGACGTGCACAAATTTAAAGAAAATGAAAACCGCAAGTTCCTGAGCATCAGACAAATATCTGCTATATTTTGCGGATTTTGAAAAGAAATATAAGGCCATAATGGACATACTTTAATTTAGCTTCAAAATAAGTTCTAATGCAGCATCACTGTCAGACCTTGATCATGATTGTACCTATTTTCTCCTGTTGTTTACAGATACAGGTGGTGTTCAGCGTCAAAATTTAATCAATTCTATATTAAGGGAAATCATGTGAACTTTTAGAATGGACCCAACCTTCTTTGTCATGTAGTCGAATGTAATAGCCACTTTAAAATTCAAGTCACGCTCTTGATGTCTTTCCAGCGTAGTTAGCTAGTTCACCAAACCACCGGTAAAAACAGCGAGCATGAGGGCGTTAGTTGTCTTCAACATTCTGTGTTTAGCACTAAGCCAGGGGTTTGACTTGACTATCTTACACACAAATGATGTTCACGCGCATATCGAGCAATTTGATAAGTACGGAGGCCGCTGCTCCGAGGACGAGGCAGCTGTGGGTCAATGTTTCGGAGGAGTCGCTCGCAGAACAACAAAAATAAATGAAATTCGCAACTCTGAGCGAAACGTCATACTGCTGGACGCCGGGGACCAGTGGCAAGGGACCCTGTGGTTTTCTATCTACCATGGCTTGGCAGCGACACATTTCATGAACAGACTGGGCTATGATGCTATGGTAAGTAAAAAAAAAAGCTCTTAAATGTATTGTAGTGGGTAGGTCTCTTCCACGTGTGTCTTTTAAATAAGAATCGTTGTTAAACTTTGAAGTCTCCGAAATTTTCTAGAAATTTTCTTTCAAATAAAGAAGTTAGCTTGTTAGGTCAATGAAATACACAAATGTTTAGCAATTCAAGTTGGAATCGGTCACTTCTACTGTTGAAATATCTCTTCGCCAAAAACACTTGAGATCACAAAAATAGTTTTTTTCCGCATCACTAAACGCGTAGATCTCGGTGTTTATTAAGTTGTACGATATTCAATGTGCCATATTGTAGTAACAAATATACAAATCACAACAACATGAAATTGCACTGAACCCTTCCAAAATGTGAACACATGGAGAGAGAGAACATTTGCATTGACAGTAACGGCAATTTAATTTACTGAGACTTGAATTACTTCTTCATTTGTTAACTGCCATTTAATGACAAGCAAGGGCTAAAACGCTCCACTTGTTAAGATGTGTAGTCCTATACTGGTCACATTTATTTTCGTGCGTATCTAATATTGTATTCATGCATTTCTGTAACTAACATAGAACTGTATGCGTTTGACGGCAATGTTCTACATCTTCACAGTTCATCTATAAAAAAATTATAATAATAATAAAATGAAATAAAATAAAGAAAAAAGTAAGAAAAATATGTGAGTATGCGCGTGTTTACTTGACTCATAATTCTGGTATTAATCACCTTGCTCTTCAGGTACTTGGCAATCACGAGTTTGACAACGGCGTATCAGGTGTACAGTCCCTTATTGGCAACGCGTCGTTCCCGGTAGTTGCCGCTAATATTGACGCCAGCAAAGTCCCTGAACTGCAGGGCTTGATCAAGAAGTCACACGTACTCAGCGTCAGTGGAGAACGTATCGGAATTGTGGGATTTGCCCATAGCAAAACACCGTCTCTGTCATATCCAGGTGCTGTTTTAAGAAGCAGAAGTACCTGTAACTTCATGGTTTCTGAATTGAGATTATATAAAAGACATCTACCATTTTTCTCTTTTTTTCTCTACATTTGTGCTTTGTTAGGCCCCCTATATACCATGTAGTCTGACGTTGGAAATAAGGAGAAGAAAAAAGAAATTTAATTCGGACCAATTATATAAGGACTACTTTGTTTTTGGAGAATATGTATTTTTTTAATAATCTGCAAACTAAAGTTTCTATTGGAATATTATTTCTCGTATGAAACAACACTTGATATTTATGATATTTCAAAAGTTTCCTGCTCAGTTGGTAGGTGTTTTCAAGAAGTATTTCAATGAACAGCGAGTGAACAACAATTTCACTCGCCTCTATTCGAAGTTCATGAAAATAATCTGTCTGCCATAATTTAACCTCTCCATTTCATTTCGCAAGGACTCCGTATTTGATAGGTAATTATATTTCATCTTAGGGGACCTGATATTCACTGACGAGGTAGAGGCTGTCCAAGCAGAGGTTGACAAGTTAACATCCCAAGGCATAAATAAGATCATTGGACTTGGCCACGCTGGGTTTATAGTGAATCAGAAGGTCGCTGAACTTGTCACAGGACTGGACATAGTTGTTGGCGGGCACAGTCATAAGTTTCTCTATTCTGGTACGATAATTGAATGAGTAATATCCGTATCTGACTGTTATTTTTGCTAAAGTGTCTTTTTGTTGTTGTTGTTGGGACCTATATACTTTTTTTAATGGATGCGCAACGTTTATGATTTTTTTCTAACCAGTTCACGTTACCAAGGATATATTACCATTCTTAATGTCACATATAATAATAATAATCGGTGCTTACTACTTATGACTGCTAAATGTAGTCATAAGAAAACACGCATGTCCACACGCGCATAACCAAACACACAACTACGCACAAGTAAATATTTCTGTTCATACTATTTCTAACAGGCCCACCACCGTCTAGGGAAACTCCCGTAGGTGATTACCCAATGATCATTACTCAACCATCGGGAAGCGAAGTGCTGTTCGTTACTGCTTACCATTACGCCAAATATCTAGGTCATCTACACGTCACATTTGATCCAGCGGGGATCATTACGTCATGGAATGGAAATCCCATATTATTGGATAACTCTATTCCTGAAGGTAAGGGTAACATCAGTGTATGTACTTTTTTTCCAAAATGTTTATCTGAAACTCAAAACTCAAATTATTTTTGAAGCGTAATGTCATTCCCCATAACTTTCTGAACTTTTGATAGTCAGTCTATTGAATTTTATTTCACTGCACAATACATCTTGTTTAAAATTGTACTGCGGTTTCTTTTGCATTTTCAACATGTTTTCCTTTGTTTGAAAAAATATACAGGCTGTGAGACAGCAGAAACAAGTACTAATTACTTTCAACAGTCCACATTACGCCCTCTAGTACATGTATATGCAATGTCTGGCTAATAATTAATGTTGATTTCAGTTAACCCACGCATTTTCATTTCTTTCTTAAGATAATGCGATGCTGATAGAGTTGGAACCATGGAAGAAAAAAGTAGCAGAATTTGGTGCAGAAAAAATAGGCAGTAGTCTGGTCGCGTTGGATACCGAAGGCTGTATATCCCGTGAATGCAGTCTGGGTGAGAGATCCTTTCGACTTTGGTCGAACATTTCTGTATTTAATCTTATGCTTTAGAATTTACAGTACCTGCATCAAAAAGATACAAACTGGGATAATACATGTGAACTGAAAACTGATCAGTAAAATGTATTTTCTTTGTTAGCTAATATTTTATTCTTAAAGTCGGATCTATATTGTTTTTTTTTTTTTTTTTTTTTTTGATAATTTGATGTCATTTTCAGTTTTCTTTTATTATTATTACTATTTATTTATTTATTTACTTATTTATTGTAGTGCAAATAGCAAACTTGAAACATGCTCTTTACTTTAATGACCAGGCAACTTCGTAGCAGACGCATTGGTGCACGCATTTTTACAGCCATCCCAAGACAAAACTCGATGGACTAATGTCTCAATTGGATTTTGGAATGGTGGCGGAATACGGTCGTCATTCGATATAGGTATCACCCCCCCCCCCCCTCTCTCTCTCTCTCTCTCTCTCACACACAGACACACACACACACACACACACCTCTTTCTCTCTCTCTTTGACTATCCAACAAAAATAAAAAATATAATTGGACCGATTGTTGCAATTATTTTTTTTTCTCATTACAGGTGACATACTTGTATCAGACGTCCTCAGTATATTCCCCTTTGGTAACGGCGTAGATATAGTCCAGATAAACGGCAGTGCGCTGTGGGCCATCATGGAACATTCCGTGTTCAACATGGAGTCGGGACGAGGCCGTTTCTTGCAGATCTCGGGTAAGAAATGAATATAATTTATGTTGTACCCCGGTATTATAAATTAATGGAGCTACATTACTTTCATATGAATTGTAAATGTAAGTTATCATTTTGAATATAATATCTGTATTTTTGTGATAAAGATCCAAACCTAACATCTTTTATCACCTAGAAAGAAAAAAAAATGAAATGTTTCATTATGATAACCACTTAAAGAAGTATTTGGTCGTATATTAGTACCGTATCGTTTTAACTAGTGGCTTTTGTCTGAACGCATCATCATAGATAAATATTTTGTCGTTGCGCCAAGGTTTACGGGTGGTGTATGACGTTTCTAAGCCGGTGGGTAGCCGAGTTGTCAGTCTTGATGTAAGATGCGCAGACTGTGTCGTCCCCGAGTTCAAACCCCTTGTAGAGACCCAATTATACAATGTTGCAACTTCAACATTCCTACTGGGAGGTGGTGACGGTTATGAAGTTTTGAAGAACAACATTCTCTTTCGATATGGAATTGGTAGGCTACTGTATGTTTTACAATAAACCAAATAATGACTTTAATGTGAAAAATGCAATCACGCGATTTTTTTTTTATATATATATAATTTGATTGATTAAATACAATTTTATCAAACGTACTAAAGCCATTCCTTTTAGTGCCTTATTAACTTTTTTCAATTAATTGATCTATTTACGCATCCATACAATATTTTCCCTATATCATTTTATACTGAAATGACTCTCTTACAGACGTCCTTGATGCAGATATCATGATGGCCTACATCAGGAAGTATTCTCCCCTAATTCACGGCTTGGAAGGGCGAATCAAATTTGTTACCGATTCGGAGCCGACGGAATGCAAAAGGAAGATAAAGGATTGGAAGACACGTGTGGTCGACTTCTTTAAGATTTTCTGGTAGTCTCTAGTCATTTCAGTCGCTTGCGACTTGCTTTCACATTCAGACATGTCGTTCTGTATCACAAGTAGGTTGATTCAAAGGGAATAAATATCTTATGAAGCACATTGGAAATCTACTTGAATTCGCTTTCCCAACATACCAAGAGCTTGAATAAATCTCTGATGGTTAATTTTTTGTCGTGTCATGTCTAGTGCAACGTTGTTCCAAAATACCAATATGCTTGATGTGAAAAACATCCCTAGAAAAAAAACCTGCCCTAAATTGATATCTATTTGTTTCTTGAGAAGTTAGTTTTCAAAACATAAAATATTACTGATATTGTAATCAGTCCTGTATTACAACTGGGGCATTTCACCAGATTAACATCGCTCACTTAAACCCGCCCACATTACCTCATCCATAAAAATGAAATCAATATTGTAAAGTAAGTAGCAATAAATTACTAAAACAGAATAAAATAACTTTTTGTTCGATTTATTGAGTCAAATTTCAGATTCTGGAAATTTCACTTATAGAAATTTCTTTTAAAACATATGGTACAATTTACTCTATTTACAAACTTTAATATCTTAACATAATATCAACTACAAGTATAACAATATAATAATACATAGACATAATAATACATAAAGTGCATAACAAAATAATGGATTATCATGATACTTACTTTTCCCTGGTATTTTATGCAAATTACCTATACACCAGGGGTTTCCCCAGGATTTGGAGTACAGGGAGTCCAAAAAAAGTCAATCTATAATTTAGTCATCAATTTACAGGGTGTTCACCAGAAGCAAACCCAAAGCTACCCAGCCTTCTTAAAAAATATAAGCAAATCTTTTGAGGCTAATGGCCATCCAAATGACCGCTGGGCAATGGAAAGCCTTGCTGAACGCAGGAAGGAGGAATCAGCTGGCTGCTTTGAGCTCCAGATATTGAGCATGTATAAAATGGAAATGGGCATATGACAACATATTCAACAAACGAAACAAAAAAATTTACTATTTCTTTAGACTTGTATAAATTTTGTTAAACATATTCAAAGAATGAAAAAAACACTACTAAACTGTTGCAAGTTCTTTGGATTTGTTAACATTTTGTCAAACAGCACATGAATTGCACAATTTGTACTCTACTAGAATATGTGCATGATTCAACCAATTCTGTAGTCATGTACAACAGTTTAATGAAAGCAGCAACCGGAGCCTGAATCTGCTGGCAAGCACCTCATCTTACTGTGTGTTCTTCTGGGCCAGTCCAAGCACCACACTATCAAGTGAAGTCCCCTGCACTGTCATATCACAATAAACATAAAGTCACAGGTCTGAAAAAAAAAAAATTAAAACCAATAGTTGCATGTGAATGCAATTTGTGTCACAAAAAGAAATACCTATTTATTCAAACAACACTACTTTGCAATAGATTGGTGTGATTCCAACCACTGTTGTTGGCTTAATTACCCAGAATAATTAATATGACCTGCTCTTATAAGTTACAACATTTTCTTCCACTTTTTGTATGTAAAATTAACAAAAAAAATGTTTGTATCGTAAATCTATTATATTTACCTCACATGTCATAAGAAGATTTTCTACTCCTGCTTGTTTCATCACTGAAAACTTGGCTTCTTTCACGCACTGAGTATTGTGTAATGATATGCCTTCTTCAAGTTGACTTTTGATATTGGCTATATTCAACCCATCCAGCTGAAATGGGAGGTTTCATTTATAAAAAACGGAGTTTAAAGCATCTAAGGTTTGAGGTAAACACTTAAGATATTATTTTTAATCTGTTCCAGAAACTCATGACATGATCAAGTTTGCATTTCTTAATAACTCCATCATCCACACAAAATAAAGTTGCATACGAGCGTCGTACATTTTAACAGACTCAGATATGTAAATATACCTTCATAATCAGTGTTAGCAATTAAGGCTGGACCGTCTGCCCGGGCTGACAACTTCCAGAACGGGCTGCGAAGTTTTCCCACCCGGCAGACATTCAGTCCAGCTATTTTTCAAGATGGCTGGACTTTCTGTCCAGCAACTTATTTTCCTAAGAGGCGAACACTGTTCCAAATATAAAAATTTTTCTTTCAATATAAAACAAGAGCATAAAAGCATTACCTCTGTGTCAATCCTCATCCCACAGCAACAAAATATAATTTGTTTATTCTGCATAAGTGGATTTCTAAAATGTAAAACATTGCATAAAATTATAAAAAATAAACAGCTGCATTCATTATTTTACAACCTTTTTCTGTATATTTTACAAGGTCCATATTTGTGAAATGAAACTACATCATAACAACGGTAACATTTTGTACATTCTGTCCACTTAAATAGATAACAACTGTTCATAAGTTATCGATATTTTACAATAAATGCATTGTAAACAGCTCATAGAAATATAATAAATTCCATTTTAACACCAAAATTGGTGATAAACACAATTATTCTGAAATTTGTGCTTGCCATCATATCACAAGACCTCCATATATGGCTACACTCTATAATAATCTCTTAAGAGAACATTACAGAAAACCATTTTTTTTAGAAAAAAAAAAACAGGGTCTAACTTTGAATGTGGGAATGGATTCATTATCCATTGGTTAGTATAGGAAAATTGTCCTTTACCCCAGGAAAATCAATTTTGTGGCCAAAATGAACAGTTGTTTTCCCTCTAAAAATAACATTTTCAATTATGGACACAAAGTTATGGATCAATATGTACCATGCACATTTTTTTGTTGAACTTTCATTTTACAACACTGGTCCTCTGGATCAACAAAAAACCACCATTGTTTGACAAATTTGCTTATGCTTTACTGAACGACATTGTTTCAACTGCACCATCCGATACAATTCAGAAGCCAATTTAAGCACACCCGACTCAATTGAACTCACTTTTTACATATAGGACAAATGACTTCATCTGTTTTTAATTGGTCTATTGCAGCACAAAGCCCAGCCTCGTCAAAAGCCAAACTTTTTTCATACTCCTCCAATATGCGTTGTTCTAAAATCCAAAAAATTAATTGAAAAAAATACAAATTAAAGGACATTCCATCTCCTCTTCTTATTTTGACTTCATATCTTGAGCATGAAAAAATATACAGGATACTGAATTTTTTTGTGAGCTGGAATTTGAAAGTAATGAAATATTACACTGTTAATTCTGCTAATGGTTCAAACTACTCCATGCAATTGCAGGCTATAACAAAACACTGATATGAAGAACAAAGCAAAATATAACCCTTTGTTTTAACATACCTTCTAAAAGCAGTTCTGACTTTATTTCTTCCAAAATTGACAAAACCTGCTCAACATCTGTGTCATCTGGTGCAGATTGGAGCTGATTCAGAAAGGAATTAATATTAAGTTGCTTTATTTCTATAAATTTGTTAAAATGCTATATATAAAACAATAAAGATCCTGCTTTCTGAAAAATGAATGTGACTGAAATCAAATATCAGCATAGGCAGTAAAAACACTTAATATTTCAAACTATTTTCTTGCAGAAGAAACATGAATGAAACAAGAGTTTAGTTATGCATGGTTCCAGGTCTGGTAAAACAAAGAGACTCGTGATGCTTTATGACCAATACTTTCTATCCTTAACAACTTATTTTAATTAAAAAACTTACATCAAAATTATCAGATAACTGTGGAAGTCCACCTTCTTCTGCCTGCAGAGTTTTCCACTCTTGAACCATGAGATTCCTAACAAGTGATGGTTTGTTGTTGTTGTTACTTTCAGAAGTTCGGAATCTGTTCAGAAAGGCCTCTCGATTTTTCTTCAGTCTGCTCATACATCTCTAAAATGACAAGATATGGATTTATCCAACAGAAAAAGAGATCCAATAAATAATGTTCTACTAATGTAACAGATAAACATCTTGTCTGTAAAACACTTAATACCACCGAGTTGGAATTCTGCCAATATTTCATTGCATAGCTAATAAAGACAACTCATTCAATTATGACAAGAAGGCATTGACCTATCATATCTGCTGAAAAGACCTTCATCTTAAGCCTGTCCATGCATCTGTTACCTAAATAATCTTAATGAAATTCAAAAGGACAAAAACACTCAATTTTTTTAAACTGCTCTGCGACATTGCATGTACAGCACATCTCACTGTCTGGTTGCAGACAGCTAATCTAAACTGGAAGTGATGTGAATGCATTTCCCTTATATAAACTGTGGTGTTGAATCTATCTTGGTGGGTGAGGGGTGGGCAGTTTAATATAATGGCTTTGAAATTTGTGAATTGATGCACCTTTGAAATTGTCTTCATTTTACAAACAGACGATATTTTGTACTTGTGTTGTGACCTGTATTTAATTATATACACAGATCACGTCAGAATTGAAATTCTCTCTCAGTCCCCCCTCCCTCCATCTCCTACCGGTAGAATCAAGCAATGACCCTTTCTGGCTGTGGTTGTTGAGTGTACATTTCCTTCTCGCGAGTAAAACTACAGCAAAATCTGGCAATCATGCCACAGTATAGAAAACCACGCCAAATCAAAGGATATATGTAAATGAATGAGACATTATTTTGTGAAACTCAATCTCAATGATCTCAAAATCAAATCAAATGGGCAACAGGACCCACCGGGACCAACTAACCGTCCAGAGTGTTAAATAATGACTAAGTTTAAGCCTTTTGTAGACCCAAGGGAAAATATCACTACCTTTCTGTATGTTTCTTTCCATGGTGGAGTCATTGGTTTGTACTGCATTTGGCGCTTTATGACACCTGCAGACTCCTTCTGCGCCATCCTCGCCAAACAACATGCAGAGCTAGACATCTCTATTTTCAGAAACATTGCTTCGAACATAAGAGATTGTGGTGGATGTGTCGTGTAGCAATCACAATTTTACATTTTGAAGGTAGCCCACAAAAATTACAGGCCTGTGACGATCAAATTTTCAGATGTTCAAACCCATTATAAGGAGCTAGGAGTCAATACACAATACAATGCAAAACACAATATGCAACAAAGGGTATGCGTCTCATATAGAATCTAATAGCACCTGAAACCGTTTTCTGCCATTTCCTACTTCCAGGTGACTGAGATGAATCTGAATTAGGCCGACTTTTGTCCTTAGGCCTATTTCAAGAAACTGGCTTCTCAAAACCAATGCTATAATAGTTTTAGGTTTGGATAAAAAAACAACACGTGGCAAGAATTTATTAAAACTAAACCCGGACCCAGGACTCTTTCGAAGAATTGTCTGTCAAATACGGATCTAGGTTACGGGATAGGTCCTCTTGATTCAAGACACTTTTTTCTTGCTAAGATAAATTGTAACGGGCAGGTCTAGTTGTCGCCAGAAAAAAAGGCGACGTAGACGTGACTTCTGGCATAACTGAGGCGTAACTAAGGGCTGAAATTGATCAACACGCGTGCACGGACCCATTCACAAAAAATAAATTCACATGTACATAAGCACACCTTTCAGAATTTGGAACCATGATCTTCAGTGTGACTTGGTACATTTTTTGTTAAACGAACGCGTATTTTCTGTGGACAACCGTGTCCACCCACAAAATGTTTACTGCATTTCATTGCACTACATGGAACTTATTTGTTATCGATATGTTTGTTCTTTTGCATTTCTCGAGATTTGGCTTCTGCTTTGGGACGAGAACAAAAGAAACTCCAGCCATCTGTGACCGGTTTAGGCGTACCTGGGGTCACTTTTGGATACGTGCCATAAATACGGCGTTTAATTAACACTGTAGTTAGTAAATATAATATCTGTCATAAAATGAAAAATTTAAGGAGTTACAGAGAGATATCAAGTCACTGCCGCTACTGCTTTGTCACGGTAGCAGTATGCGCCTGGGGGCTGAAATGACCGGTCTTCACAAGCGACACCTTGCAAAGCCAGCGTGCTTTATTCCGTTTTGACGTGTTACTCAAAATAGCTCAGCCGCGCAAATTTATTTTTCTCGTCTTATGCTTAAAATTTTACCCCCCCCCCCCCCCCCCCCCCCCCCCTCCAAAGCCGAATCCTGGATACGCCAGTATGACTGGAGCAGTCGCGGCCTTGAAAACCATCTAGTTTTGAAGTCGGCGGTTACTTCTTTGTTGTCTCTCTGGACTTTAAATTAATTTTGAGCTTGAGTGCTTCTTTTTTTATAAAAAAAAAATCAGATTGAAATATTTCTATGGAGTGGGTCAACTGCTACCATTAATTTGCGCGTCAATTCAGTGGGGGACACGTATCGATTTCAGGGAGATCACGGTGTATAGATCGGGATGATGGATTGTCCAGCACTTTAAAATTTTATAACAGTACCACGTGTTCGTTGTTGTGTAACTTTTTTGCCTTAATTTTTACCGTCCACAGATTAAATCTCGTTTCATTATAGTACTTTCGTCCCATATCAAGAAGATCAGCCTAATAAAGTCAGCATGTTTGCCGTTGATACATGTAGCGATTATTAGCCTTACTTGAACAAAATGATTTAAAAAAACGCAGTTTCTTTTACTGTGTAAGATAGCATACAGCAGGTGAACATAGATTTGCATTAAATTCATTTGTCTCGCATGCCGTTCATCCGACCCTTCACCCAAATATGTTAAATATGTTAAGATCCAAATTTGGGCTTACGCTCACATATTGTTGTGGAGGGACATTTAACAGAGACCTCTCGCCTTCAAGTCCCCTCCTTCCCAAAATTGTCCAAAATTCCACCTGGCCAAGTGAATATAAGTACTGCAGCACAGCATCATTGGCAAATAATTACCAGCTACAGTGCACATGTACCCACGTCTATCAAACATACGATCTATCAAACGTACGTTTTTATATAATAGGCCTACTAAAGATTGTGTAGCACCCGTCACTTTGCACGTTGCTATAATAGTTAAGATATCTTAAATGTAGACTTGAATTATATCAACATAATACGAACTATTAAGATGCTTATATATATATATATATATATATTATTTACTCAGTACGTGAAATCCATTAGTGTTTCGCACTCGTTCATCTCACATACACCTTGCTGACTCGTGAAGTGCGTATTACACGATTTTTCATGAAAACAAGTCACCAAAATTTCAATAAGTGATAACAGAGCGGTTCACCACGGTTTCTCGTGTAAGAGGATTTGTGCAGTGACATGCGAACTGTTTGATTAACCGCGAAAACGAAGATGCGTGCACAGCACTTGGCATTCAATTTCATTGGCAATCGTCACACAATGTCACCCCTGTAAACAGAAACGGCGGCCGTACCCAAGGACTGTTCCATTTATAAGGCAGTCAACCGCATAATCGTCAAAAACACTGCCATCGTCCAGTAGGGCGCAGGAGAGACCAGTTGGCTGACACACGCAGAGGGAGACAAACCCAACATTCAACCAAAACTATTGCTGAATAGTTCTGCACACAAGATCAAGCCATGTTACAAGGTAAGACGTTTAAACTTTTTATGTCAGCAAGATGTGTTATTAGTTGAAGAAATTTAATCGCAGAAAACATTGTGAAATACTGTAAATTTTGCAAGACATTTTTAGACACTGTTTACATACTTAATAAAATGTCATATATTTTGCGATGGTAATTAACATGCGCACCTATATTAGGTATTTAGAAAGTGTCAAAACAATGAATAACTTATATTAGGTATTTAGAAAGTGTTAAAACAATGAATAACTTATATTAGGTATTTAGAAAGTGTCAAAAGAATGAATAATAGTTGACAAGGTAGGATGAGTCTTATTTCCAATTATAACCCAAACAGCCATCTTTCCAAACACACTTAATCAGTGTCGGGTTAAGCATACTAAGCTAAACACTTAAGACAATTATAATTTGTCTCCAGTTTTTCCTTTCTTGGTGATGCACTTAAAAGGGATGGCTTTAGAAATCTTAGCCCCTGAGATATAATCACGGTCAAATGTGCGCAAATATTTTCCAATGATATTGTGAAATATTATTTCATATTTCTTGAAATAGAATGAGTTTGATATGTATGCATCTATTTTCGTTTAAACCTGCGAAGAAGGTCAAACAATTTCAATAAAGAAAAGAAATAACAAGTCCGGTTTGGACGAGTGCTTTTTATCATGTTTATTTGTAACTAAACACTGCGAACGTATGCCACTTTTGCCGCAAGATATAGTCAGAAGTCTTAAATAGTGTTGTCACTTTGGCAAGCTTGCTAGATAAATACCATCCCGGATTCAACGGATTGCAAAACATAAAAAAATCACCTACCAATCCTTAAAAATCGAATTTGCACTTGAAGATCCTCGCTGACTTCAAAGATGCCCGGATCTAGGGCTCGGAGTGTTGCAAGAATTATATAACAATAAAATGACCCCATGCACCTGTTTTGTTGAGTTTCACTATGGATATTTGTGTCAGCTTTAAAAAAGGAGACTTAAAACGATAAAGCGTAAAATCGATTTGCATATTTTAGAGACAAAAGGTAGCCTAAATGCATTATAAAAATAGCTGATATGGGCCCTTGGGCAATTTACCGTTACCAAAGCACGCTTGACCGCTTCATATTTCCACAACATGTACATTGACAATAGGCTCATATATCACTTTATCAATCAAGCTATTTATGCAGATACATTTGTTTGAATATCAATTTTACGCTAGGTGAACGTTCTGAATGGCAATGTTCCCTGTACAAATACACCCCTCCATACACGTTTTCTGAAACACGTGTATACTGATGTACGAGGATCTGCCACATTCTTTGTCTAATAATTGTATGCAAATAGATCAATATTATACAACCATTTTATTGATCAAACGTTGGTATGCATGAGAAACTCAGATGTCAAGTACTTCACGGAAGCCTTGCCATTCACTTATCATCATCAGTTCGTAATGTTAAAACACTTGGTTTCCTTATAAATAAATTTCCATATCAAGCACAATTGTCTAACTACTGCTGTGAAAATGTTAGCGATTTCAGTGGAAGGAAACACAACAGTCATTTGTAAAACTTCGCTCAATTTATTTCACAAACACGGGCTACACGTGGTAGCACGTAGACAGAAACGGGCTCTTGGCGGTCTCCCAGGGGTTTCTCTGAGCACTATAGAGAAACACTACTTCACAGGAAACCGCGCACATCTATCTGGTCTGACTACTGATTAAAATCAATTTCTGTGTATGTGTCACTATTTGTCTTTTTGGCAAACAAAAGTAAAAACACTAATTCACCGGATTATAGTTTTAGTTTTAACGCTCTTAGTATTACAACAGGAGTCGTCCACTGCAGCAGTCATGATATAATTTGCTCTTGTTTGTCGGATGTAGTAGTGGACGACAAGTAGCTGTAACTGGCTTATCCCACGGCTGGAACAATAAGATCAACGCACCGAAGCGTATGAAGTTACAAGCGAGAGCGTGAGCGAAATACACGTACGCGTGCACTGTAATCCTTTAGTTCGAAGAACCGGTCGTGGAATATAAACATGGCTATGGTTTCCTGTTGAGGGGGGGGGGGGGGGGTTGGGGGTTTAGATAGCGCTGGGGCTGGCTTGAACCGGGTTTTCTCAGGTGTGGTGACCGTGTTGAACGAGAGATCAAAACACCCAATGACTTTAAATGAGCTCCAAATATTTCACCATTCTTGATCGCCACTATCAACTGCCAACTTTCAACGAGTGAACATCTATGATTGAAATGTATTGGTTTGACAAGGATTTGTTTCTTAGCTTCTTTAACTTCTCTTCGGTGAATTAGATTGGAGTTCAAGAGTGAACATAACTAAGATAACACTGATAGATAGATAGATAGATAGATTATTCGTAGTTTTTTTTTCTGGGAATGTTGTGGTAACCTGTTATCTCCAGTTTCTATCATATAAACCATTCTATCATAGCTATCATACAAATCATTTTATTTTTTTTAAATAGCATCCGAAGAAGACAAAATGTCGAGGATTTTGCTTTATTAGCAAAATTGATATCAATATGTGTTTGACATCACACCTCTGACTGACCCAGGATTTTGTTGAGGGGTTGGTGTAGAGCAAAGATTTATTTTCTATACATCGTTTTTACCCGGCTAATATAAAATGGTTGGGAAGAACAGTTTGATTGTAACATATAAGGGACAGGGTTGGTAAAATTATTTGATTTTGTTTCGTTTCGCTTAATAGGTGTCATTTTTTTAGAGAGAGAGAGAAGGGATACTAAAGAGGGGGGGGGGGCATGTGGTTCGTTGAATCAGCTATTGCAAAAAAAAAATTGATTAGATCTTCTCCAAGATACAGTTTACGGTATCTCCTGTTTGAGCTTGTAATTGAGCATGAACGAAGACGTATTAAAACAATAACAGTTAGTTTTTCAGGTTCGTTTAGTCATAGATCTAAGATATTCTGAAATGCGTGCCAGTCTAACTGCGTCATATTTGCAACTAAATAGATGCAGTTATAACTCACTATCTTCAAACACTTCATCAGATCTAATATTTAAATTTGTAAATATTTACGGTAATACCAGTGTGAGATATTGAGAGAAATATGAAATTGATTCCCTTTTGAGAACCTTCGAATTGTCTTTTCGATTATTCTATCAAATGTTCAGAACGGCACATCTCCTCGATTTGAGACAAGTTAATTTATTCAGCCAAGACCGTCAGAAGGGTAGACTCACGGAGTTACATAAGCTGCCAGGGTGAAGGTATACTCAGTAAACCAAAAAACGATATCCCCTCCCTAAAGTGCTTTATGCTTCTGTTACACGACATCGCTAGGACTCTTTATTTTCATCTTCTACGCTCTTTAATGACATTAAAGTATGCTACTTACGTGTAATAATATGTCATTCATACAACCGAAATTTGCATTTGCTTTGCAAAGAAGCTTGAACCCCCATCCCCTTCTGAAGTTTAGTTTAACGTAATTTTTGTGTGTGAGTGTGTTTTTTTAACCTTAAATCACCTAGTCACAGCATGGAAATTTCCGACACCAAACCAGTGCCAAACCAGTTCAGTAATTTTCCTTTTTACTCGAATTCAGCCCCAGTTAATTTCAAGGTGCCTTGGATCCTTTATAGAACTCCCTTGAACTTTCTGGCTATATCTGGGACTACCTGCGCGTGTGTATATCCAACGCAGGTGATATTATCACGCTTGGTCAAGTCAAGGTGGTGTTTGGATACCCTTCGGTCATGTGATGATATGTTAGAGGGTTTATCCGGCCATCTGCTTGGCGTTCCAACTTAATCACAGTCACTGACCAGATTTTTAACTATACGCATTGCCGTAATCTGAATTAAAACTCAATAAATCACCATACGGACCACCAACGGAAGATTGTTTAACCACGAGTTTTTGAACAGAAAAACAACTTTTGAGATCGGGTTTCAAGGTCGGGTATAGCTTAAATATTCATGTGCCCCAAACGGCGTTAAGTCCTACCTTTGCGCATAAAGAAATCCGCGTATTTAAAAGCACGTAGGCCCATCTGTAATAAACTATTCGCGTCCTTTTTAATGTAAATAACCATGCGTTTCTCTCGGTTACCCGGCAAAAATTAAGCTACACTGGCCAAGTCCAGCTCTCTCAGCGTCTGGGAATGTTGTACTAGCAACTGCTAGTTATCTGGCAAAAGCCCTTAACTTCAGACGTTGAGAATGCCAAGGTCAGGAATTTTCCGTGATACCCAAACTTGAGCATTCCATAAAAAAGAGAAAAAAAAACAAAAACGCGCGCATCTTCCGGGCCTTAATGCAGCTGGCCTTTTACATTTCAAAGTCGAGAAAGTTTCTTATTTTAGGCTCTGTTCCATGAAGCTTCAACTTGGGTAGAGGAATGAATGGTTGTTCCAGAACAATTCTATGATTTGAAAACTCACCCACACTTTTATCACACGAAAAAAGCAATAAGGAGGAAATTAAAATAAAATTGCTTACAGAGGAAATACTTGCGAACTATAATACAATAAATCTAGCAAATATCATATTGCCAGCCTTTAAAAAGAACTGGGAGCACATGTAGATTGTATGTTAACATAGAGGCATTTAGGAGTAATTCAAACTCCCTCGATTGCATATCCACAACAACAAACCACAAAACAAACAAACGAGCAGACCACAAACAAACAAATGAGCAGGCCAATGCATTGACGAAAATTAATTTGCAAGTAACAAACAAGCAGACCAAGATGCTTGCGATTTCGCGAGTAATAGACAGTTTTTAATAAGACAATATGTGTTGCTATTTCCATTCTTTAAATAAGGTTAAATTTTAAAACATCCATTAGTCCATTCGTTTTAAAAGACAGCTAAATTCATTCACAGTGCTTTTTCTATTGCATGCAACACGCTTATTTTAGCTTTATCAAATCATCTCAGACGGTATCAAAATATACCAACTTTATGTATGATTTCCATTATCTCATTATAATATGTTAAAAAATGCTTGTAAGTTATTATAAAGGAGAGGAGAACGAACACCAGAAAGATGAATATTGCCATTTATTGCAAAATGACTTATACAACAGATATTTACATATCAATAGAAAGTAAATTTAAATTAAAATTACAAAATGGGGGAAGGGGGGGGGTAACGAAACAAAATATAGTGAAGTTAATATAAATTTCAGTTTTTAACTGTTTTCATTTTAATTGTACATTATCACATTTTCACTCCAGATGGTGTCCGAACGCCGGGGTTCACGGTGGAAACACCCCCTCCACATATGGAGAACGCTGGGGGGATCCCACTGAAGGTTGCCATGATATCTGTGCACGGGGATCCTTTGGTTCCGAATTCAGAACTGGGTTCTGATGGCAAAGGTGGACAAAATGTCTACGTGAGAGAAGTGGGGAAAGAGCTTGCCAAACTCAACTGCGACATCACTTGGTTCACCCGAAGCGAAGCTCCGGACCAGGTGGGTGTGATTGACATATCACCTACCCTCAGATGCCAGTACATTGTTGCTGGGCCTCAGGAACACATCAACAGGGACTTCCTCTTCACCCATCTCGACTGCTTCATCGCACAGATCGATGCCTCCAAGTTTGATTGCGTATTCACCAATTACTGGTTAAGTGGCTACGTTGGCCTGCGTCTTGGACGACCCCAGTTGCACGTGCACCACTCCCTTGGACAATTGAAATATGAGCGACTGGAAATGCCCGAAATCGGCCCAACTCGCCTGACCGTAGAAAAACTCCTCAACAAGTATGTCGCCTGTATGGTACATCAGACAGATTCTGAGATCAAACTGTGCGAATCGACAAATCCAGTTTTAATTAAAGCTGGTATCAACACGGATAGATATGAACAGTGCGACCCAACCGCTGCTCGACAGGAACTGGGTTTTGACGAGAGCACCATCAACGTATTGTTTGCTGGACGTTTTGCCTCGCAGAAAGGTGTTCCGTACGTTATTGAAGCAATGAAATCAACAGATGTCCCTTTCAAATTTCGTCTGATTGGTAACTATAAGGGGAGTGAATTTGAACATTTGGTGGCTGAAAATCCACAGTTTGATTTTGTTGGCCAACAACCTCCAGAAATGCTGGCGCTATACATGGTGGCCTCTGATATTTTAATCATGCCTTCCTTGTACGAGCCTTTTGGAATCGTTGCTATCGAGGGAATGGCCAGCAAATGCTCTTTGATTGTGTCTGCTACTGGTGGTTTGGATGAAATCGTGGAAGAGGGCGTCACAGGACTCAAGATACCCCCTGGAGATGCTAACGCCATTCGCGTGGCGTTCGAACGATTGGCAGCGTCGCCCGACCTCAGACGTCGGCTTTCTGAAAACGCACACGTCAACGCCATGTCAGCCTACAGTTGGAAGGGGACAGCAATCAAAATACGCCAGCAGTTAGAAAGAATTGTCTATTGCAACCCTGTTCCAGCCAACAGAATTTTCACACCAGCTGTCCAACCTGCACACAATAAGGGTGCTTCAGCAGACTTAACCGACGTCGGGCTTGCGTCCAAGAGATCGTACGTTGGTTAAATTCTGACCAAAACGAACATTCCATTTTTCTGCCAAAATTGTACATAGTCCTGACGTTGCACACTGATATAATTCACACGAGCCGCTTGAATTGTGAATTACTTAATGAGTGAAGTGAATATATATATATATATATATATATATATATATATATATATATATATATATATATATATACACACACGGACTGTATGCACCCATAATTTGCACTGTATATTTGGATTTGGTGTTCTGCTTAAACTCAGACTAACAATCAGTATTTTTTTTCTTCAATTAATTCAAATATTTTACCCAATGGTAGGCCTAATGTTATTTTAGTCAATAACATTTGAAAGAGTTTTCCTGGCGTGCATGTATGCATGCGGTCTACACATCCAACCCTCCTTGTTCGAGCAGCAGTGCTCGATAATTGTCGGATACACCATTATTTCTACTCTCCTTTCGGATGCAAGTGTTTGACATACATGTATATATACAATAAATAAGTAAAATACTGTTCAAAAAGAGGCAACAGAACAAAAGATTCAATTATTAAACAGATTCTAGTTATATATATACATCACTGAAATATTAAACGGTTGGACAAAATTTGTTATGAAAGCTTCACATACTATTTACTGATTTTGTATAACGTTACAAAAAATAATAAATAAATAAATTGATGCACACAAGAAATTGTGATGACTTTATATTTTTAATTTATTTCTTCTAAAAACACTCTTGGAAAACGTGTTTCTTATAAATTCATCAGTTAGAAAACGGTTCTGAAAACGTCATGTTGACCCACTGTATTTAACTGGATAGAGTTGATAAAATGGATTTTATTTGGTAACACCCCTCTATGGGACCATTCACTATGAGTGAATTTTCGGCCTAGCTAATGCACAATAGCTCCAAGGGGACTCTCGCTGGATGAAATCAGACAAACTCCTGGCCTTGAGTAGAATAAAGAGAGCTGGTGATTATACGATTCGTTGGAAACAAGGGGGGCGTGTAAATCTGTTTATCTGATTGCATTAAGCAAGATTCCCCGTGGAGTTAGTGCACATTAGCTCTTTGCATATAAAGCCGCATTGAGTAAAAAGGGCATTCAACCCTAGGAAAAACACACACCACTGTATATCTTAACTTCTCACCCGTGCAACAATGATACTGCTAGATTAATAGGCAGATTTATCATGTTTCGCTGACAGTGCCAAGATAAATTTCACCTGTCGTTAAACCGGCTGACCGTGTCCAAATTACAACAATAAAGTTAAGATTTATGGGCCATCATTATTGAGTCATTTCAGGTTTTATAGCACACGTGAACAGTCCATGCTGCCGGACGATGGTCAGGCACAAGTCACTTAAAAAGCACGTGTTTTATTTACGAATTTTCTCATACTTCCGATGGAAAAGTTATAGAGACAAATAGCGTGCCGCAAATAATATAAGAAACATAGAATCTAATTACAAACATGCAAATTCTGCTAAATATCAGTTAGTGAATCTTTTTCTGTAACTTATTTTTTCCGAGACGATCCATTAAGTGAATATATATAAAGGTATGTCTTAATCGAATTTGAAAATAACACCAAGAATCCTGATTTTGACGGAGGACGCCAGATTGTCTTCGACAGAGTTACCTATTATATATTAACCAGACTAGTCATTATTGAGTCATTTCAAGTTTTATAATACACGTGCACGTGAACGGTGCATGCTGCTGGACAATACTCAAACGCCAGTCACTTAAAAGGCACGTGTTTTTATGTCTCCTCCTTCCTAGTGCACCACAAACTTTCATAATTCCATTCACAACAAGAAAGAAGGGAACAAAGAATATTGGTTGTTCGATATTTGGCCAAACATGGTCGCATTTATTATATAACCCAACTATACTAGCAATGTAACAAATTTTTGCCTGTTATTAATGTTATGACCTAAGGGATAAAAGGTATATATCAAATATTCGATACGACTCATCATCCTAAAAATTATGATGCAATGAGTCAGCAAAAGTTTTTATTTACAAACAATTTTGCACAAATTTGTGTCATACTTCCTTTGGCAAAGCTTTAGCGACAAAATAGCAGGCAGCCCATGATATGAAAAATAAAACATGCAAATAAAGCGAAATGCCAATGACTGAGTATTTTTCTCTTTCTTTTTTTAAAGAAGATACAGAAAAATCAACATTTGAGGCATGCCATTATCAAATTTGATGTAACATTTAGTAGCCTGATTTTAGAGAACGCCCGATTGTCTTTTTATAACACTCAACGTCGCTGTGATCTATTATAGTAAAACAATAAGCTTAAACTGCCTTATTTATTTATTTATTTATTTATCTATTGCTTTTTTGAAGTGATTGGATAGTTAAGGGAAGATACGAAGTGAGCAATAGAGTAATCCAAGGAAATTTTTATTCTTTTCTTTCCTTTAAGGGAAACGTAAGAAGGATGGTTTTCCCCAAAAAGTCCCAATAAACCCCTGTTGGTGTATTGTTTATTATGTATGTTTTATACAGATATAAGAAGAACATCGTGTATTGCAATTTTACAAAAGCTTTCGCAAATTAAAATGATATCGAATTGTATGCATTAAAAACGTAATAAATCCAAAGGGCTATCCATGTGATCCATGATTGAAAATAAAGACAAGGCAGCAAGGTTGTCAAATGAGCAGACATAAAGCAGAATATAATTATGCACAAAATAGTTAATTTTTTCAATTTTGATGCAATATTACATGATGCTGAAGGACAAAATCAAAACCAAATTTTAATCATACATGTAGCTAGCATAAGTCTTTGGGTGCATGAGAGTTCAAATTACATGTAGTACCCGGGAAATCTCAAAATGTGAAAAATGAGCATTACATAAAAACATTACTTCGAAAAAGGGAATCTAATCGGGTAAGATTTTCCAACTCAAGCTGTAGTTATTCCTAAGAAACACTCCGTAGGTTTGAGCATAATAAATAATACAGTTTTCCTTTATACTGCAAATTGTGGCAGTGCACAAAATAGGGTTTTTGTCAATTTTGATGCAATTTTTACATAATGGTTAACTGTATAATCACTACCAAATTTTAATTATCTACTAAAAGTAACATGGACATTCAGAAAATATATCAGCTATACAACTTCGTGCCCGTAGGAGTGCTAAGTCCCACAATAAAAATGCCAATATATGAAAAATGATCATTTCACAAAATAATGCATTAATTCCAAAAAAGATGCCCTATCAGGCTGGTTTTCCAACTATGAATCTTTTTTGTAAGTTTGAGAATCATAAGTAATATTGCTTTTTAAATCTACCTGTATTTTAGTAATATCCATCAGTCATGTAAGTTTGAAGTCAAAAGATCCACTTATTTTCTACTTAAGGTGATATCTGTATTGTACATATGCTGAAAAAAAACAGCATTTTTAAATGGTCCTATTAAGCTGATTTTATATCTCGACCTGTATTTTACCACTATTCATCAGTTTTGTAAGTTTGAAGACAATACGTTAACCAGTTTTCCCTCTTAATGTGTTATTTGTACAGCATTTAGGCTAAAAAATACAAACAAAAAACAGCCCATGTTTTGGAAAAATGGTCCGATTAAGATGTATTTCGAAATCGACCTGTACTTAACTAACATGTTATATCTTATTTAAATTTGAAGACAAAGATTCGAACGGTTTTGAATTTCGAGGATGAAGTTTATATTTATATTCGCGTTTTCCTTGCTTTAGGTCATAGCATGACTGAGCTAATCACTGTAATAAACACACGCACAACAAGCACCCGGTTTGTTTTGGTGATAGCGATACGAACACTAAAACCAGTGTTTAAGCACGAAAATCTCACTAACATAAACAAAAATTTAAGTGTCATAATGATGATTTTTTTTATCAAACAAAAGATCTGAATTTCGGTTCTCTATACCTTGGCGCAGTGAGCAACGGCAATACAGCTGCGTGCAGGAGTTGTTTTTCACCTGGTATCCCGGATATTCTATCAAAATAACTTTAATTAAATATAAATGGTTTATCTAACGCAACTTAACCAAAAAATAAATAAATAAATAAATAAAATAAAAAATAAAATCAAGATAAAACGACTTCTCCGTTGTGAGAATCAGACTAGAAATGTTTAAATAAAGATGGTAGAGGTATTTGATGAGGTAAACATAAAAAAAGAGATGACAAAATTATCAAATGGAAGGCAAAGATAAGCCATCCGTATGCAAAAGTACAAACGAGCACGCATGTTTACCTTAATCTTTTATTTCATCTGTTACTGCCTATAAAACAAACATTTCTGGGAAAAATAGATCTTGTGATAAATAAGGCGGGTAGTGTTACAACTACATACATAGTTTAAATGATGACTATAGTACAATTTCATGTATTTTAATATTGCCTCGGTGAACACTGTCGTCTACTAAACCCCAATCGTAACATTACCACATGTAGTTATTTTACTAAGGTTATCAGGTACATAAGACATCGACCTTTCACACGAGTATGGCACCAATGTATTTAACACGCTTCCTCTTGATTCCAACGTACTCGTATAATTGACCGCTTTTCTGTATTCTACTCAACGCCAGGAGGAGGCTTTTTTATCTGTTAATCTGACTGCATTCAGCAACAGTCCCCGCGGAGTTGGATCGAACTTTTTTTTTGGAAGGGGGGGGAGGAGTCCCAATACTCGCGTCTTATTAATTTTCCGTTGATCATTCAGTGGACTGGACGGCCTGCACAGGAGCGAATTTTTAAAACGAAAAAGATTCAGGATCAATTTATCCGTTACAAAAATCGTGTGATTTTCCAAAATACTCGATGCATGAAATTGGCCCATTGAACAGTTGCATCATACAAAAAGGGCATATTTCCCTGGCTAAAAATAGAAAACCTCCACTTTAACAGAGCGGCAGATCTGCCGCGCTTTCAGAAAAGTAGTAAAGGAAATATCCACAGCTGCAAAGTATAAACTTGTCTTAACTAATAGTCAAACCAGCGTGTTTACAGCAATAGGAGGCACTACACGTAGTACAACCCATTTCACTGTAGTAAATAATGTCGGATATTTATTGCCTCAAACTAACATTAGTAATCCAAGGCTGCCCAAACTGTGTCAAAAAAGACGTTACGAGAAACAAGCGAAACGGGCAGGTGTGTGATGCTGACATGTAACTGAACGCTCTTTCCTTTCCACGACAATGGCAGGTGGTGGATGCATGATATGCACGCGTGAGAAGCCTGCATGAGAACCTTATTATATGATCACTCATCCCATCTCAACTTTTAATTTCAGAAGGGTATTTATCATAGGTCTAGGAAAACGTCATATGCCTTTTTTCTTTTTTACTGTTTCAGTGGCATTTCCTGATGAGGGACCTTGTTCCCATTTCACACTCTTAATATAAGTCGAATGTTGATCTAAGTAATAAAGTTCACTCGTCTAAGTTGTACTTAAAAAGCTTAAAGGACCATTAACCTTGATTTTATTCAGTCTTAAAACAAGCCCTAGACTTAACTCCAATTGCCTTGATACTCATCATAACTCAACAGTGGTACCTCTAAAAATATTACATATAGGGAAAATTTAACAAGCTTAATTCAGCCAATCTTCGAGCGTAATCTGGAAGCAATCTCATGCAGATGTTTGAAGTAAACGATCGCTCTAATAAAAAACTACCCAACGGCTCAAGGTCGATGCAGCACGCCCCTTGCGAGAATACGTAACACGTGATGCTCTTGCACGTGAGAGAGGTATGGATGAGGAAATTATCAAGTTACACAGTCGGTTAACATAAACGCTGGGGATTTTCCTACCGTGAGCTGCATGCTGCTAGTGTGAACGGAATGGTGAAAAATGACCCGGCTTATTACCCTCATACGGGACTATTTAAGCGGAGGCGCAGCTCAACTGGTAACCGACTTAGCGGTTTTTTAACGGAAGAAAGAAACGAAGAATACACAGATAATAAAAAGGAAACAATCGAAGGAACCAGGAAATAGCAAAGGTTTGTTTGTTATGATTATTTATCTGTGACATACTTCTGTTTAAGCTCTGCAGTTTTGAAAGAGCATTATCTAGGTCGAAAGTCGACATGTGCTTTATCAGTTGCAAAGAACGTGTTTTTAAAAAAACGGAACGGCAACAGTTTATGATTAAGTATAAATATTTAATTAATATATAAGCGTATAAGGATTAACTGATATTTAAATAAATTTATCCCGTCTTTATCTGGTGGGTTTATTTTAGCTTTGTCAAATTATTTAAATCTATAATTTCTATGTTTCTCTTTGTCTTTCCTTCAGATTTGCCATGCCAGCTTACGAAGCAACCACGAGCAGCATAGCGCCAGAGATCTGCACGGGCCCAAAGCGCGTGGCAATGATCTCGGTGCACGGCAATCCCTTGGTACCAGATTCGGAACTCGGCTCTGACGGCAAGGGAGGTCAAAACGTCTATGTTCGTGAGGTGGGCAAGCAGTTGTCCAAGCTGGGGTTCGATGTCACCTGGTTTACACGAAGCGAATCGCCAGAAGAAGTGGGTGTGGTCACGCTATCGCCAACTCTCCGGTGCCAGTACATTGTATCTGGGCCTCAGGAGCACATCAACCGGGACTTCCTGTTCCCGTACCTAGATGACTTCATTTCACAAATAGACACATCAAAATTCGACTGCGCCTTCACAAACTATTGGCTGAGCGGTTACGTTGGCCTGCGCCTCGGCTTGCCTCAGCTTCACGTCCACCACTCCCTGGGGAGTCAGAAGTATGAGCGTGAGCCCATGCCAGATATCGGGCCAACCCGACTGAAGGTAGAGGAAGCCATTAACAAAAACGCAGATTGCATGGTGCACCAAACAGTGTCTGAAGTGGAATCGTGCAAAGCGACAAACCCGATACTGATTAAAGCTGGAATAAACACTGACCGCTTTGCATCATTAGACTTAAAGGAATCGAAAAAACAACTTGGCTTTAGGCACGATACCATAAATGTGTTGTTTGCTGGACGTTTTGCGACTCAAAAAGGCATTCCATATGCTATTGAGGCTATGAAGAAAACCAAAGTACCTCATAGATTTAGACTGGTCGGCAACTATAAAGGAAGCGATTATGAATATCTAGTCAAAGAAAACACTCAGTTCGAATTTTTAGGACAAAAAACTCCAGATGAACTTTCAACGTATATGGCAGCATCAGATATTTTGATAATGCCATCTCTGTATGAACCTTTTGGAATCGTTGCAATTGAAGCAATGGCCGCTGGCTGCTGCATGATAGTGACCTCTGTCGGTGGGCTGGACGAGATCGTTCAAGATGGCGTGCACGGCTGCAAAGTCCCCCCTGGTGACGCTGAGGCCATCCGCAATGCGTTCGAAAAACTTGCTTGCAACAGAGATAGAGTTCGAAAAACAGGAGAAGACAACCGCAAATTTGCCATTCAAAAGTACAGCTGGTCAGCTACAGCAACTAGGATTGGACAAATGCTGGACAGGATTGTAGAGACTAAGCGAAAAGTTCCCTTCCGAATTGCTCGTAGAAATAACCGTGGGATTGCGATGGGAGTGGCATAAAAATTGATAGTAACATGATCGCTGCGATTGAAAATGGCATTTTTTTTACTATTCATTAAATCGTATTTTTGTACTTGAAGATTGTTCGTAAACTTAGAGATCTAACCGATAATGTCGTTATTTTGCTACTGTTGATCATCATTTTGTTCATTACTAATACAAACGAGATTTTATATAAAGTGCAATACATTGAGATGCTTTTTGTTTTGAGTCTAAATCGTTGTCAATGATTACGTAGACATTTTCCTTAGCTACCTTACAAAAATCAGTCTTGATAAACCAATGCAATTATTAGAAGCAAAGATATTTTTCTGCACAAAGGCGAACGCGATGGATCCCCCCACATATCCCCCCTTTAAAAGTAATTCTATTGCATTGCTGTAACAGTAAGATTGTAGTATCAAAAATTTCATGTCACTTTGGCACGATGTGTTTGACATGGGTCAGTGTGTATATTCTGAGTCACCTTATTATTTGCATGGTTCAGCTCATTACTGTCACACTGCCAAAAAAAATCCACAAAGGAACACTGTCACGAGTAGCTCCCAATCTGATATGACCCAAAAAGAATGACAGATACAGTAGATAAGCAGTCCCAGGGTAGCGAGTTCCGAATGACCTCAAAAGGACATGAAAATAGAGAGAAAAACAAAAATACAACATACAAAAGTCAAGGGACGTCGTGTGTCCTCCGTACACAGTATCAAGGAGATATGAAATGACAAATAGTAGATTCCGTATCGGGGTACGTTTGGCAGTGCAGAACAGCCTGCAGTTCTGTTGGTTCATTCTTGTAGTCGTACGGTGGTAGGCACTCAAACATGCTGTTAATTCTGTTACAGTTGCCCCTGTTGAAGCGCTTTTTTGATTAATTTGTTAAACCAAATCTGGAAGTATTAAACTGTCGGGCTCCTCAGATTAAGTGGCGCGTTATTATATGCACCAGGAGTGCCTTCACATAACATAAAAAAAACAGGGTGCAAATTTAGATGCTTTGATAATGCCAAATGAGTATTGTGTACAGGCCACTTTCATGATCAAGGTGCCATCGTATAACAGAAGAATTGAATAGTTACATTTTCTTTGTACCGAAAAAGTATAAACGTCGGACATCTGACGCTTAGGTCTAATCAAAATAATGTTCTTTCTGTTCGATTTTTTATACACACGCAAGAATCTGAGTGGCTGAAAAAAAAGTATCTTGACAAACATCTTTACAGTATCGAGTTCACCTAAAAAGATTGCATGTGATACTGAAGAGGTGTTTGAAGTTGCGACAAGCACAGGAGGCAAAGGCACTACCCGGTATGCAGCGACAACCATAGTGTTTTGTAACGTAGCTACATATACATGTAAAAAAAGTAAACAGGCAGCACTGTAGAACAGATAATGTGTGCACAAAGGAAGTCAAATCATGTAATGACTCAGTCTGTTAGACCCGATTTTCTACCTCGACCGTCAATATTTTACCTTTAATGATCCAAGAGAGATTGATATCCCAACAAATGCTTAATTCATTAATTTCAAATTCCGAAAAATATACAGACTCTATGCTTATATTTTGGTATTAGCTTATCTCTATGTACTGCCAGTTGTCATGATAATCCTCAAGATTGGGAGAAGATCATTACAAGATTATCAAGCAATAGACCTTCTCAAATAAGTGGGAGGAGGAATCATTGTGTTAGATACGTTGTAATACACTTGAGGCATTCAACGGGGGCGACAAAAAGTGAGTAACCCTACACCTAACACACTGACACATAAAAGGCCCTTTGGAAAAAAATAACGCTGCCCTCAACAGAACCAAATGAGACACTTTTTTCTCCCAAAGTTTTCTGAATTAAGTTTGTCTCCAGTTTTAAATGCATATAATTATTTACATTAAGATTAAATTTAACTCTGTCGATGTTCTTTTAAATTGAGCAGTAATCTAAGATTTGCAGTTTAGTATATAGGAAAAAATATTAGTAAACTGAATCATTAAATAGTATTTCACGATAATAATAATAATAATGATGATGGTTAGGTATGATATCTAGGTTCATGCACTGAACGAGCCTAGAACATCAGGCGTTCATAAAAGTTTCTGCTGCAGATTTCAAGGTGAGGCTTAACTAGCAAGCGCTGGCTTAAATTTCTAGAACCTGCACTAAGCATTTTACTTTACCAGGTAAGCTTAATAAAGGCACAAATTTATTCTGACCTGGTTTAAACTTCCGGACCAGTCCATCAAAACAGCAGCTTGTTTTACTTACTTTTTATTACTCAGTTATTAATGCACTTAATACACGCAACTCACTATCTGGGTCTTCTCGAATCCTCCATCTACTGAAATAAGTAGCTTTCCAAGAGTTGATGAATCGTGCATATCCATTCGTTTTATACAGGTGAAACTAGTTTCAAAGGATAGGCCTAAGGCCGTTAAACCGGTAAAAATAGCTCAGCTTACTCACCATATGCTGAATATTCTCGTTGAGCGACTTCCAAATGCGGTCAAAACAACAACATCGGGCATGGAGTCTACGAGTATGGAGAGAAGCAGGTCTCTAGAGGTAAACCTCTTAGTTTTATTGTCTCTTGTGGGTTTAATTACAGCCGTGTCTTACAGAATAGAAAATGTTCCAAACCCCAGGACTAACTATAGGGACTGTGGCAGGCAACTGAAATCGTGGCTATGCGATCCTGGAGCTGTACTTACTAGGGCACAAGGTGAGCTGTGCAGCTTATTATACATGTATCATCTGGTGTATCACGCAGATTGGAGTTTCTTCTCTACGCAATAGTGTTCAGACACTTTTCGAAACCTAGTCTCGTTGATTATTACTCTCTTTGCCTTGGAGGAGTTGAGTATAAAATTGAAAACTATGAAAGGGGTATTAAGATTAAATTCAACTCTGTAGTACAGACGCCATAACGCTATATCAGCCCATAACAACTTTTGGATTTTTTTTTATCTCTAAAGCTTAAAATGTTATGCTTCCTGATTAAAAGTGCTTGTTTTTAATCTTTTCTTTTTATACGCAAACTACATGGAGACTAGGTTGTGTATACGCAATTGTTCAGACAATAGCGACTTGTTTTTTTTATCAAAAGGTGTCATGTTTGTGCTCGCTAACCACCACATGACTTAAATCTTTGCCAGAAAAAATTTAAATATTTCGATATTCTCCAAGGAAACTCTCGGTCAGAAAGAAATGAAATTATGATCTGGAAAATACTGTGATTACGGCTGTGTGGTAAAGTTGTAGTTTGGCATTATAGCAAAATATGAAAACGTGATCGTTTAACGGAGTATTTAGCGCCCAATAGTCTACCCTCATGCTTTTACGCAAACTAACAGTCTGAGAAGCAAGAGTAGAGCGTGAGTAATCACTTTAGTCATCTAGTTGGAAATGTAAAAGGACGTTTTTCTCGAAACATTTTTTTTCTTTTCATTCCTAGCTGATCGGCTAGATCTGGCCATCATTGATGTCATTAGTTCCACACCGTGCCCTTGTTTCAGTTCAAAATGCCCCGCAGACGAAGACGGTATTATCATATCAATTCTGGTCGTGCCTAAAATTGATGTGCCTGCCAGGTAGGAAGACACAAATCAATGGTATTTCTATAAGGTCATATTCTGTAAAAGAGTCAATCTCTCTCTCTCTCTCTCTCTCTCTCTCTCTCTCTCCTGTGTGTTTCAGGATCTATTTAGTGTATTTAATCAATTCGTTCATCTTAAACCGAGATTAATTTGAACCAATACATCCTCTATTTACTAAAAATTGGCACAGAAAATAAAAATAACACCATCTAACTAACACCATTTACTTGAATTAATCTGAAATGACCATTAATCCAAAGTACGTCTGTACAGTTCCAGTGTCGATGCTGAGATGAGAAGTTGGGTCTCCCAGCTGGCTACAAGTCGGTGGAAATTCGGGACATGTGATAATGACATAACCATTGTGCATTCTCGGGATGACAGAAGAGTGAGGCTTTTATTGTTTCATTTATAGGTTTTAGCATTTTAATATGTTTCACATTAATTCATTTAATTTTCTTTTCTTCCTAAGTGAGGCGCTTTTGTTCGTAAAATTCATTAAACACCAACAAGCTAACCGGTTTCTTATTATAAAGACCCGCAGGAAGTCGTATTTAGCTAGCAGGTGATTTATATGAGGGAGGACAAAGCCAACGCGCTGTGTTATCTAAAATTCGTTTTTAATGAGCGAGAGGGTGCATGGGATAAAAAAAACATGCCTCAGGTAATTATTTCATTAATTTACCTACCGTTGGTCTTTACAGGTGGTAGCATACGCTGGTTCCATCGCAAACAGTAAGATAGGAGGCACGGCGTGTCTGACCAAAATAGTACAGGGAGCTGCGCCTTATTTCTCTGGTCCATACAGCGCCGAGGGGCTGGAGTACATAGTTACAAGTTTCAAGTAAGATAAATCTTGGACCCTTAGAAGGGAGCAAAGAATAAAATAAATCAACTATGTGAATTGAACTGGGAAAAGAATCATAAACAAAGTATAAATGTATGAGAAACGTTAAGATGTGCAAATGACGCTGTTACATGGTTGATTTAAGGTTCATGTACATTAACCCAGTCTTCATAGAACTCAATTGAAAATCAACTGTATTTTTAGGAAGGTATTTCAGGGAAACAGTTGTCCGAATCCGGAAGATTCGCCTGGTCATCAGCTAAGCAGTAGACCTAACAGCAACAGTAACAGCAATGTCAATAATAACAATAACAATAATAACAACAATTACAATACCAACATGAATCATGGTTCATCTGGCTCATCTGGCGCCGGTTCCTCCAGTAGCAGTCATGACGGCCACTCCGGTTCCACATACCATTTCTACGACTCGGGAGTGGATATTAACGACACACATCTGCCTTGGTGGGCCATCATGTTGATAATTCTTGGGATTTCTCTCGTTATCTCTCTGATAATATCGATAATTTGCTGTATTTGCTGTCCCGGTCGAGCCCCAGGGTGTTGTGTGTTCCCATGCTGCTGCGGCGGATGTTACGAACACGGTCATCCCGCAGGAAAACCATGAACCAGTCTGTCTTGTTACCTCAATCCGTTGCCACTGGAAAAATCCTTAATTTAATTTAATTTAATTTAATTTAATTTAATCTATTTTTATCCATTAGACCCTCATTATGTTCTTCATATTTTAGCACAGATCCTATCAATTTTATTCTTTAAAAGATCTTTTTAAAATTTTTATTTATCTGATTTTTTTAAATTTTCCTTTTGAATAACATGTGCTCACAATTAAAAAACATGTTACATTCAGGACCTTTTCACGTATTTGACCTTAGCAAATTACTGCCCCTGTTCAACTTGCACGTATTTTAAGCAAAATACAAAATGTGCAAAAACCGGTTACTTGACTTCAGCTAGAAAAATGCGATTCAATAAATGAATGTCAGAGTTTGAAACTCTTCACTGTGATAGGGTAAGTGCAAGAAAATTGTCTTTGGCCCATAGAATTTTTTCACTAGAAACCAAACCTGCGTGAGTTCTTATCCAAGATTGCCATTGTATTGCTCAGTTTCATTTTTAGATATTTTTCACATGTCGTAGGTAGGAATTATGTTAAAGGGATAATAACTCTTCGTTTCGGCCAAAAAATGAATTTTCCTGGAGTAAACAACAATTTTCCATAATTACCAATGGTTAATGAATCCATTTTTACATTCAAAGTTAGTCCCTGTCTTTTTTTTTCTAAAAAGTTTGGTTTTTTGTTAAAAAATGGAAGTCACATGGTCTAAAGACAAGCTCATATATCAGAATCATAGCTATAACTGCCGTTTTTGTGGTAAAACAGAATATATTATATTTCTATGAGTTATTCACAATGTTTTTATTGTGAAATATAGATCTCATACGAAGAGTTATTATCCCTTTATATTTTCAAAATGAACATCGACTATGACGACTTAAGGCAACTCAACAAAGATTTTGATAGACACGAAGTGTGAAATGAAATTAAATATCCCAATTAAATGGGATATAAGCAGTTGGAGGTTAATAATCTTATATTGTTTTACATTGCAATTTTATATATTATATTTATCATTTTTATGGATCTATTTGACTTTTTTATTTATATATCATGGGTTTGATTTGCATTTGTACGTAGCATAATATATAAACGAATTTATAACAACTTAATAAAATGCTATTTTAAAATTACATTTAGGCAGGGGTGTCTTTAATCCAATCTAAAATTGCCACAATACTACACCCATGTAAACTTATAATTAAAAACGAGTTGTCATTGCAATTTTCAGTAGCTTAAGTGATAAAAACTCTAATAGTAAGCCCTATGGGAATATAATGCAGGGGCGGATCCAGGATTACTTGAAGGGGGCAGGGGTCCGTAGATGCGAAGCCGACACCCTATCCCCCTTACGGGATGAATACCCCTTGCAGCACACAAATGGAGATAAATCGAGTCGAAAAAAGAAACGCTTTTTTGTACGGAACTGTATAACCCGCCCTAAACGATAAGACCCGCTTTAAATGAAGCTTTGAAATTTTTGTGCGCGTTGCCAGGCTGCGTGTATATTTTGGCGAGGCACCCTTGCTATAAACGGCATCGTTATCTTTCACTGTTACACTTTACAGATACTCGATAGTATGGGGGATTTGCAAGTATCTTTTAAATAAATTGTCTTATTTTCGATACCCCGGTGATGGTCCCTCTTGTTTAAAACAAGGGCACGTATGTACGTAGGCCTACAGAGTGATCCCGAGTTAAGAACCGCTTAGTTCGATTTTCGTGGCCTATAAGTCCAACACAAGTAAACTATGTACGGTAGTACCAATAGGGCCTATATCATAGGTATGTTTCTGTAGGTTGTAACAAAGATGCTATAGTACGTTATTACACGGTACATATAATGTTGCCTATAAACTCTTGAAAATGTGACCTAGCCTGCCTGGCTGGCTATGTGTGTGTGTGTGTGTGTGTGTGTCAGGGGCGGATCCAGAGATATTATCTGACAGTCTTCCACATTATCTTTGTTGATCCATCCTCCATTTTTTGACCGTATTCCGACAGAAAAAATTAGATACCCGTCAATGTAAACTTGAAAATCTGACCGTCTTCCGGAAGACCCAGAAGACGGCCTAAATCCGCCCCTGTGTGTGTGTGTGTGTGTGTGTGTGTGAGAGAGAGAGAGAGAGAGAGAGAGAGAGAGAGAGAGGGGGGGAGAGAGAGGGGTAACTGTCACGTTGATTGGTTCATCACCGCGATTAATGAACCAAACAGAAAACGACCTGAGGATTCCGTTCTATTCTACAATAACGCAAAAAAGGTATTTTGTGGCCTGTATGGTGATTTTATTAAATAAGTTTAAAGATAATACTTTTTTTTACTTTTTTTTATTAGTAAAACGGCACTCAATTAATCCGATTAATTGTACCTTTATATAGCAAAACTCAATCTTTCAACATTCCTCCCAATCAATAAGGTATCTTATGTTCAGATTTAAGATTGATAATCATTTTTTAAGTCATGATAACTTTTTACGTCGAGCGGCGCAGTCCACCTTCACAAAAATAATATACTATATGTACATTACCAAAGTTCCAGTCACTCGACTCCACGGGCCAGCAAATTAACTTTTAAACCTGTGGAACACTGATGAAAGGGAGTAATCCCCCCCCTTCCTCCGTGTAGCGTTATCAATTGCTTGTCAGGACGTGCAAAGTGGACTGGTCCAGTAAAGAGTACCGCTCGATGCGAAAAGGCACTTTAGATTTCTAATTTTTGACCGTGAGTCACCCTCCCACTGGCAATGAGGCGGTGAATATAAGAAAATTATATATTTAGAACTCGAAAACTGGTACATTAATAATTATTTTTTTCAGAGGTTATGTATAGGCCTACTGTACACTTTGGTACTATACTGCAGTATATATAGGAACTTTATAGAGATATAGGGACTAACTCGGATATCTCAGCGATAACTACTGAAATATCCAAAATATTTTTCAATTCAAATTTATTTGTTGTTTATGAAATTTTATTAAATGTTATTTGTCACTAAGCCTGAAAATATATGTTGGGAAATTCCAAACGAGTTACGTGCTCTGTCTGTCTCTCCTCACCCTTGACAGCATGTAGCTGGTATATTGGGACTCTGTACTCCATGCCATATAGTCTTATACGTTCGTGTTTATTTATACAGAATACCGACATAATACCTCCTTCGCAACGGGTCTGTTTGTACTCGTTCAGTGCTGCAAAACGGTTTATAACCATCTAGAAATCAATAAATGTGGTGGATCCTAAGTTACAAGCACTAATTTTACCAACTTCAGACCAACTACCCCACCTACCCCATAAAACTGGACACAAATGACCGGAAGTCGTGTCACGGGGTATTATTGTTTCCGGGTCCGGGATTACGACGAGAAGCCTCTGAGTCGTGTTAACAACAAGGTGCGGCATGCGGAAGCGAATGTAGCGTTCAACGATCACTCTTAAGTAAAAAGTCAACAGATATGTACGCAGTAAAGTTAATATGTCTGTGTATATGTGCAGTGTATTGTGCTGAGGCCCAGTCCTCCACTTCCAGCAGTACTTCTACAACCAGTACCACGACCAGAAGTAGTACAACTACAAGGCCGTTCTCACCCGTGTCTCCATCGACAACTTTTAATCCTCCACAGGCATGGACCAAAGAAGTATTCCCTAATCCAAGATATGATGTCTACAAGTGTGGAAGAAATGGGGTGAGATCGTGGGTCTGTGATCCGAATAACATACTGAAGATCGACGAAGGTACGAGTAGGCCTATGTTGAGTTTTGTTTACATGTCGAGACGACCCAAAGCGCAAGATATTGTTAAATTTTGAGAAATATGGGTTTCAGTAAGTCAGCCTTCCATATAAATTCGATCAAGGATCAACGAGTTGTAGATAAATATTGAATATCGGTTACTTAAAAGTAAGATTTACCAGCAGAGTGTGACGTCATATGGCACCAGGATGAATTCCACCGCATTACAGCTGTTAACCTGTTGCACAAAGGCATTGTTACGTTAGCCTCATTTTTTTTCTAAAATAAGGGAATTATCCCGTTAGTCTGTAATTTTTGCGGTGTTGTGTTGCCATGTAGAGACAGGCCTTACATATCCGCCCAAAATATTTTATTTAGCATAATAATCACTGGCATATTCAGGTAATCATTGAGCACAATTTTAGACCTCGACCCTATCTGCGATAATGGAGAGTACTGTTAAAAAAGTATACGCGTTGGCTAAGATGAGATTTAGGCAGACCTACCACCTCTAAGATAATAACGATCGAGTGTGCTTATTAATTGCTGTACAAGTCATCTTCCTATGTACAGCTGTGTGAACCAAGCATATAATTATAGGTCTACCTGCGCTGTACATATGGATAAGCATATACAAGTGTATCCCCTGTACCAGTACACCCGACTCAGCTCCCTGACTACACCTGAACCTAAGTATTTGATCCCGCTACGAATAACTTTATAATGCACCCCTTTAACTGGTTAGGTAACAATTAAGTTCCCTCTACTAAGGCGGCAGTAATTATTCTGTAGACCTTTTTGCTGAGGCGACACAGTACAGAGATAATCCATTTAGTGTGTGCG